GCCCTTGGGAGTACCTTGAACAAACACCATCCCAGTGCAAATCTCTGTAACACACAGATTGCTTCTCCTCCTCTAAAAATCTCCTTGTTTCTCACATTTCTCACGTATGGAATGTGAAATACTTTGACCCCGTTTACTTTAACCTAATCCCATTTCTTCTTTAGCGAAAAAAACCTCATTTAGATCACTCATATTGTCAACATAGTTATTGTAACCATTGTTTTGGAGACTGTTAGGCCAGCTGGCATTTTCTGTAATAACATTAATCACAATGAAACCATCAGCCATTTCATGGGAGCATAATGAAATCTGATAACAAATGGTAACCTTGAAAAGCTATCTAAAAAAGTCTCAAAGATTTAAATAGCGCTCCAAGCTGTAATGCACTCAGCTCGTATTTCCATGTAGTAAATTACATTGTTCCAATTTATCAGGAACAGCCCAGTCCCTTTCACATTCTTCACTTTATTAGGATTTAAACTGGAAATTAAATGTATAGAAATCTAAGTCCAGAGCTTCTCCTTCTCTTTTCCTTTCTTCCACCCCCCTCCTCGCCCCCCCCCAAACTTGCCTTTCAATGTATCTAGAAGGTGCAAATTAACACACATGCAAAAGTATGAACTCTATTTTCAAATTGGACTTTGGAAAGTTTTTGCCTTTCTATTTGGTTAATGAAGAAGATTTAGTCACCGATTTAGGTCTTCCAAATTGCTCTCAAACAGGATTTTATTTCTCCCACCGTTCTCAGAGGAAACCAGCTTCCACAGGGGCTATAAATACCCTCTGCAAGTCTACAAACAGCAAAGAGCTGCTTCTGTTAGCACACACATCGAAACAGTTCCCCAAAATTCCAGGAGTTGTGTGTCAGCAACCCGAACTAATGATTTCTAAGCTCTCAATCCCACCAGCTTTTATTAAACCCACCCGTCTGAAGTCAGAATTGCTGTAATTAGGCTCCCCTCTGAGAAGAGGCAACTGAAGTCTTATGACTCATTTCCTCTCTCCAACATCAATAATTTAGTTTCTGGTCCTCACCCCCAGTCATCCAGACTACTCGCATGTTGGATTGCTCAGGGCTGTCCAAGTGAGCCAACCAATGTCCTCCAGAACAGAACCCACGGTCTGCAGCAGGGCTGCCCACCCCAGGGACCTCTCCCCACCGGCAGACACACAGCAGATCCAGCTCCATGCCTGAAACGCTACCGAGTCCTTCAACAATGCTTTGGTAGCTCCTGCACCCATGAGAAACCCCAAACCTCTCAAATCTCTCGGGGGGCACAGGCACACCACACAAGGCCAGAGAACAACCAGACCAGGTACTACCTGTAACCCCTGAGACGCTGTAGCAGTTTTAATACCATCATGGATGGACTATCTGGCATCAGAACCAAGTGGCAGGTCTGAGGGTGATTTGGGATGTGGGGGAATTATGGCAGGCAATTAATACGCATCTAAAAAGTTTGATTCTCAAGTTAAAATCCTGAAATTGCAACAGTTTATGAAGGTTTTGTTTTAAACAAACAGGATGCTATCCAATAGGCAGCTGTGTTCTTCTCATTTCATTTTTAAATGCAAGCTATCTGCATGCAAAGCAGCTACGAACCCAGTGCCTTTTACATTTTCCTTTAATGGTCCATCCTTCCATTCAAAGACACAGCTACTCCAAGCTCATCCTGTACTGAACAGTCTCATACTGCATGAAGAACATGCTTTTTCTTGCTTATCATATACCACAAAAACCAAGCATTTGTGTGGAATAACAGACATACACAAGAAGAAAGTAAGGAACAACTACTGCAATTCCTTCAGATCTTTTTCTTTTGTTTGTTTAGGGGTTTTGTTTAGGTTTTTTTTATACACAGACAAGTCTTGAAAAAAGGAGACACTTGGAATTACTAATTACTAAACTCCCATACAGACAGCCGAACATTTATTAGCCTGTCTTTATTTAGCTTGAGAGGACAGGGAGACATCTTTTGCCCTCTCTCCAAGCAGGAATAAAAAAAGACAATACCTACCTTTAACAATCTGCTTGGCACAGGCATTGTAAACTTGTTCCTGGGTTGTGTTAGGAGGTAACACTCTATCAAAGACATACGGCTTCCCTTGCTGCAAACAAAAGAAAAACTCTGTAAGACAAAGAACATTTAAAACTGTTTACAGACCCAATTTAACAGGCAACCTGAAATGCAATATTTATGACAAAGGGAGCCATTCAGTGCAATGGAGACGACAATATTTTGTTGACTAAACAGATGTGACATCTTGTGTGCTCCAAACCCATCTTTTCTCTAGCTGGCAAATAAAACACGGCATATGTTTTCTGTGTGTTCACATTTGGGTCAGCAGCTACAGTTGCAGGAAACAATAAGCTGAAATATCAGTAACTGGAAGTTGATTATTTTCTCTCTCTCCTAGGACTTAAGGGGGAACAGCCATATCAATACTTGCAAAAAGATTTGCTGATGATTACTGCAAGCTAGTGAAAGCTGTGGTGTGAGAAACAGCAATCAGAGCTGAGAGAACCAGAATTTTGCAGGTCCTGAGAGCTGCCTTCTGCTGAGGCCGGGGTGGCCCAGCAGGGTCCAAGCACATGTCCCTTCAGCAGAAATACCCCAGGTTTATATCTATGCTAAACATGCAGGTGCACAGGGTAGACCCAAAAGAGGCAGCCCACTCAGACTGTTTTGTTGCCTTAAGCTTATATTTTATCCAGAAATTGTCCTTGTTTTCAACTTACCAGATGTCTGCTGGAAATACAACACATCAGAAAGGAAACAGTCTAGAAGGTTCCTGGAGTGTTTGGAAGACAACTTCCAGACACAACGGGTGAGTGAACTAACTAGGGCAGGTGCCCCGCTGGACCTGCTGTTTGCGAACAGAGAAGGCCTTCTGGGTGATGTGATGGTTGGAGGACACCTGGGGCACAGCGATCATGAAGTGACAGAATTCTCAATTCTTGGAGAAGTAAGGAAGAGGGGTCAGCAGAACTGCCACCTTCAACTTCTGGAGGGCAGACTTTGGACTGTTCAGAAGGCTGGTTGACAAAGTCCCTTGGGAGGCAGTCCTGAAGGGCAAAGGAGCCTGGGAGCAGCTGGAGGGGACCTGGGGGCAGGGGAGGTTTAGGTTGGACATGAGGAAAAATTCCTTCCCTGAAAGGTTTGTCAGGCACTGGAAGAGGCTATCCAGGGAAGGGGTCGAGTCACCATCCTTGGGGGGATTTAAAAGCTGGGCAGAGGCGGTGCTGAGGGCCAGGGTTTAGTGGTAGACAGGTATGGTTGAGCTCGATGATCTTAAAGGTCTTTTCCAACCAAATGATTCTACAGTTTTTATCCTTAACAACAACAAATAACAAGATGTCACGTGGAAGGAGCTCCAAAGTGTCATTTTGCATGGGACTGGGGCCATTTCTAGGTTGCACTAGACACCGCGCTGTCCTAATTCCCAGGTGACACCACGAACACCACTTATTCATATGTATATATACGGTGTATCACTACCTGCACATACACTTCCAGAAAATTTTGATTCCTCTTTGTAGCGAGTATAATTGGTTACAAGAGAAACACAGATTAGCAATCCTAAAAATAGGTTTGCATGACACTTAAAAGGCAAATCAATTTTAAGACAGCGAGCAGTTCAACTCCTTACAACTCAAAACCAAGGAAGACATTTGCATTTAAAATACAATTTCTTTATTTAAAGTTACACTAAGCGGAAGTGTAACATCTTTCTTATCTTCCATCAAAGCCTGTAATATTTCCCTTTGAAGATGTGACACCTGCTCTGAGAACTGCATAACGAGGGCTTCAAAGCTAACTGCGAGGTGGCTGGGTACCTGATGTAGGAGTCTTGTTCTGTTGAGTCGACATGCCATTTCTGCCATTTGCAGCCAGATGTTCAAATGCTGTGCTCAATTAGCCATTTTTGTCACACTCTGATTTTACTTCAAGCAGATCATAAGCTTACACTCGCCTGCTCCTTAAACTCAGGTATTTAACAGCCACAGGGGAAAATACGAGGTGTTTGCTTGCAACGTGTGTTCTTCACATGTCATCCCAGCATTTCTGATCTCAAGGATAAGAAGGCAATTTATAAATCGCTCAGTAAATAATTCGCAGCCTTGTGCTGGCATGGGCCACCCAAGCACCCCACTTGGTAAGACACAAGCCCAAAGAGATGACTCAGACCAACATCACCAATGCAGCCCCAGACACCAATTCTCACCCACGGCAGCCCCAGCCCCCAGGAGAGTGGTGGGACTGCTGGCAGCACCCAGCTGGCACCTACCCCAAACTCTGTCTCTCCAGCTTTTCGTGGACAGTGCATGCTGTGTGGCTCTCAGCTAGACAAAGCTCTTTGTTCCCAGGATGAGAAGGGCTGCCCAGCCCTGCTTTAACTATTCTGGAACGATTTCTTGAATGGACTTTTTTACCTTCTTACCCCCATTTTACTTATTCCAAGCACTAGACAACAAGCCCTAATGAAAGAAGCCAAAAACCACATGGACACCCAACCTCAGCCATCCGCTTATCCCATTTATTTCCTTTATGCCTGACTTGAAGCTCATTAGCTAAGCAATGCGAGAGAGGAGCAGAGAGCGATGCCAGTACATCATCCTCCCGTGGCAAACACAGCACTCCAGGAAAACACTGCCCTGGTGCAATCAATCCAGCTCTTCTACTGAGCTCTCAACAACTACAATATCAGTGAGCCCCAAAAACCAATCCCATTGTAATTGCGCTACACGCAGCTGCAAGAGGCACTGGCTGCAACTGTTATTTATCTGCCAAGCTGAAAAGCTACAAATGTAAAGCAGCAGTTCACAAACGTGCTACATAGGTCAAATATCTTCCCTGGGCTTTCTGTTCTGGGAAGCCAAAAGACTGGAATACCCATCACCAGTATCTGAAGAAAATAAATGAATGTGAAGGATCACAAAGCATCTGTCACCCACTACACAAAATGAGAGTGCTCAGCTATCCAAGCAGCACTTACAGGTTTTTGGGGAGGTTTTCTCATTGATCCTAGACAAAGACAACTCAAGGCTCATTCTCCTTTCCACAAAGAATATGATGAGCAGGCACAGACCCTCTGTCTATCCTCAGTTTGAGTTTATATTTCTTTTGCTCCGCCACTGCTTCTCCTCTGCCCTAAATCCTTTCAATCCTGCTCAAGCCTCTTCTCCCCACCTACACCACCAGCTGCACTCCCTGTACCTTGGGCTCCTCATCTTCCTCCCTCTTTCTTTGTTCAGAAGTTCCTGCTTGGATCTCTGATGTTGGAGAAACGTTGGGCACCTCCCATGCCATGCTGCTTGCCTTGTTCAGCTTTCTGACCCTTCCATCCCACCAGCTCTCCTTGGAGCCCTCCTCACCACCATCTCCACCCGGCTCCAGGCTCCTGGTGGCAGGCTGTGACCTTCACCACCTCTCCCACTGGGTCATTCCTCACTCCTGCCACATCCCCACCAGGCAGCCCCCAGCCCCACTCTGCACGTCTCCCACAAGAGCTCATCCTCAGCTTAGGGGGGCTGGAAGAGACCCCAACACCTCAGACAGGGAGAAGCCCACCCTGAAGGAAAGCTGTGTCAATTCAGCTGCCAAGATGCTGCTAAGATAGAAGATTTTTCTCTGGAGAAAACTACCGTTTGGGGTTTTTTTTTTGGTTTGGTTTTGGTTTGGAGGGTGTTATTGTTGTAAGCTCTCAATTCCAGAAAGACTTTCCTCAAAGGTAACAAAAGCCATATCCATCTCCCCAAAGGCAACATGCTGGCATATCCAAAGGTTTTGCTCCAAAACAGAAAGGGAGGGTGAGCAAGCATGAATATCACCTTATTTTTAGCATGTTCCCAAGCAGTACTTTTTCCCCTATTGTCATCTTCAGAAATAACACAACTGCTTTTTTTTTTTTTTTCAAATGTAACTCGGCTTGAATTAAATACCAAAATCAGGAAGATTTCAGCCTTATCAGAGCTTATTCAAGGAAATAATAAACAGCTAGAAAGAAAGTGTTATTTTCTGAGTTGTTGCTAAATTTTATCTGTGCACCTCCTCCATGTATTATTTTTCAAACTTTCTCATTATATGCAGTGTATTATGTCTCATACATAAATCACATCTTCCTTTCTATGCGATTACTTCCTACAGTCCCCCTGACAATCTGTTCCATTAACTTATGCCACTGCTGCGTAATGGCTAGGATAAGTGCTCCGATCCACCCACACAATTCCTGTTGAAGTTGTATTGACAGCAGGATAGATTCTGCTCTGGCCCTTCAATAGCAGGAACAATGCTATTCACATGTATTGCCAATTATTATTTTCATCAGCCTAATGTTTAAGGTTTCCTATTGAGTTTATATGCTTGGAATTAAAAAAAAAAAAAAAAAACCTAAGGATTTCATAAGCACAAAAGGGATCTTAACCATAAATGCATGTGCTACCAAAACCATCATTTTACAAGCAACATCACAGAGCAGTACTCTCACTAGAAGTTAATGCATTTTCAATTAAAGATAACCAAATATATTTCCTGTTTAAAAAAAAAAAAAAAAACCAAAACGCAAAACACACAACCTCAACTCTCCTGAATTCCATATAGACAGGAAACGAGAAGTGCTCAGTGATTAGAGCTGCATGCTAAGAATTAGAAGCCCTAATGCAATTCCATGATTAATTCCCTGTGATCTTCAGGCAGACGTTCAGGGTCGACCCCACCAGTGTATCTGCAGATTATGATGCTAAGCAAGATGACACCTGACTTTCAGGCATCTGAGCTCAGAGGCAGAAGCCACAGTCCACGGTCCATCCCCAAAGTGCCTTATAAAAACCATGGGCAAGGTGAGATGGCTCAGAACAGAACTTCCAACAGTCGGCGTGTAGCTCAGACATATAATTGCTCGAGTAGAAAGGATGAAGAGAGCATACAAAAAGCTGGGTTTCTTTGCTTTTTGGGGGCTGTAAGGAGACATTTGAGTCTGATGAGGAATTATAGCCTGAAATCATCCCCTAGAATTAGATATACCATCCAGATTTCTCCCAGGACTGATGCAAGTTTGTTCTGCTTGAGCAGACAACAGCTGTGAGCAAATTATACGACAATTGGCAGTTGTGAATATGCGTAGTGCAGTTCTGACCCCAAACATACCAGCTCTGCTCTTGGCAGAGGCAAAGCTCATTCATACTTGCCTGCAAAATACCGTGCCAGCAAGGGGGGCATCAGTTTAAACGAGACTCAAGAAGAGGTCATGCATCCATTTTTAAAAGACAGAAAAACATCCATCGGTCCATCCAAGGCTCATTTCCAGATGTCCCAAGGAGCGCAGAAGCACAGAGGCAGGCAGGGGACCCAAATGGCAGGCTCCAGGAAGAGGCACCCTGCCAGGGCTCCTGCCAAGGCTGTCCCTGGAGAGCATCTGCCCCGTGGTCCAGGTGTGAAAGCCATCAAGACGGCGCACAGGAGCACCTTTCAGACTGCTCAGGGGTACAGCACACATAATGGGATGCAGGGAAAGAACATTTCAGAATTGCACAAGAGTTAGGGGCTGATTAGGGGAGGACAAGGGGCAAGGAAAGGGATGGACATGGGCGATTTGGGAAGGAACAAACATGGGATGAAGGGACAAAAGCACCAGCCATGTAAGCAGGCTGCTGCTCACTATGCTTGTCTGACCCTGCCCCACACCCGATCAGCACAGTCCTAACTTCTTACTAAATTCCTTTCTAACTCTCTGGTTGAGGGAGTTCATTCTGTGTCTGTGCACCTGTATGGGGTCTAAGCACCAGCAACTGAAGTGGGACCACTGGTCACAAGGTCCATGTGTCCATGCTGCCAGCTGCACCTCTGTGCAAGGAGGTCTGGAAAAGGGCTCAGCCTCACCTCTGCCAGGCTGCCGGAGTCGAGGAGGTCTGGAAAAGGGCTCAGCCTCACCTCTGCCAGGCTGCCGGAGTCGAGGAGGTCTGGAAAAGGGCTCAGCCTCACCTCTGCCAGGCTGCTGGATTCAGCTCTTCCTAAAGGCTGATAGTTAGGGCACAGAGCTGAAACGGGCAGATAGATCGCACACACAGAGTGCCCCTCATTCATCTTAGTCCTCTGTCCCCTCAGAAGGCAAGAATGTTCTTTCCTCCACAACCTGGTCAAATAAAGGCAACCCATTTCCCCCTGTAAAAGGGGTGCAGCCATCATGCAATCATCAGCTGACAGTTTGGGAAAACTTTTGATCCCTGCAGGAAAAAAACCAGCACCAAACCACACGGCTCAGTTGATCAGATGAATCATTTGGCAAACTGTAACTCTGCTGAAACTCTGTCATTATTATCCTGGCTCTCTATTCAAGTCAAAGAGTTTTATTGATGCGGTTGGAATGAATAGTCTACGAGTGGGTTTAAGATACCACAGTGGATGCCACTGCCAGTACATACAACCGATGAGTATACAGGTAATAGAATCATGCGATATGTAGGAGCTTAATTAATGGGAAGTTATTTCCCAGCTAGTTTTCACTACCATAAGTGCTCTTGTAGGAGAGGTTTTATAAATAAAAGATATATAATTGTAGGCCTGGAAGACAGAATTTTTCAAAGAGCAGAAAGCAAACTATTACCAGCGGCAATTCAATTTTTCAGTCAAGGCACATCCCTCACACAGCACTGAGCTTCTCCCTTAGAAGGTAGCACAAACCACATTTCTTCCCTCTAGCCTATAGAAGTAGGAATTACTCTAAGTAATTTAAAGTCTTACTCCCTTTGAAAATGTGGAGGCCACACTTACTCAACACTGCATCAAACGTGCTCCATTCACAAAGTGGGATAAATAGCTGGCCCTGCAAATTTCCCCTGGAATTAGATAGAACTTACTAGATAGGAGGACTTCTTTTCCCCGCAAGTTACAAAGATTCTGCAGCTACAAGGGTATTTCTATTTTGCTGATAAAGCACAAGAAATAACTGGGATCTATCCCATTTTCCTGAAGCCGCTTATCTCTAGTGAGGATTGAAAACATGAGGATTAAAGACAGAGGGCGAAAATAAATGCATATCAGCAAACCAATTAAAACTTAATTATTATGTTTTCCCTATATTCAGTCAGACTACCTAAGGAAATGCTACTGCCACCCCATCCATTTTCTATGTTAGCTTGCCCTTTCAAAACATTGGGGCAGTAGCAATTCACCTGGTGGATAATTCAGAACACCTGATATAAAAAAAAAATTAAGGAAATTTATTCAGGATAACCTGAATACACTACATAGTCAAATGAAGTTCTCCAAAAGAAATTCTTAAATCTTGGTAACACTCCTAAAACTCAAGTCGGAAAATAAATTAAAACAAGCAGTCATGTATGAACAGGCACTGCAGAGCAATCTGAGTTGAACACAACATTACTTTTGCATAGCGGGCTTAATTATTGATCTACCTTATGAATATTTCTGTGGAGCTGATGGAATTTGGCTCACAGCCAGAGATCCACTTTTAGCTTTCACTCCTGGCAGAAAAACCTTTAACTCATTGCAACAAATCCTGTTTTCAGAAAGCATTATTTTATTTTGGTATAGATCTGCAATTTAGAAAACCAAGCCTTAGAAATTATTTTACAGCTTTTCTTCTACCTAGATGCATGACCTGGAAAACATACTCCTTAAGAAAACTTGAATGAATTTTAAATATAAAGATCTCCCGATACAAAGCCAACTATTAAATAATACCCTTTAGCAACATTTTTTTTATACTTCTGAGACAGCAATGTTCAGAGTCACAGCTCTCCATTACTTATTTATCACTGTCCAGAGGATGAGGTGTATTCAGCCACCATGGACCCCGCCAAAGCTCTAACCCCTCGCTGGTACCTCTCAGCCTGTCAAATGGGATGTTACCAACATAACACTAGTCACAAAAATAATAATAAAAAAAAAAAGCCCTGCAAACTCTCTCCCAGCCCACAGCCCAGCCATCGGATGATAAACTGCAGGCTGGCAGACTCCTCACAGCTGGGAGGAAGGCTGGGGCAAGGGGCTGGAGAAGCAGTGTCCCAGTGTACCCAAGGCTGGGGAGCTCCATCACTGCTGGAGGCTGCAGCCCAAGCTGGGAGCACCCACCAGCACCATGCAAAACAGGACCTCTTCTTACTTGAGGGCAACTGACTCGCTCCTCCTCCTCTTCCAGGACTCCTCAACGCGGCTCAGGAATGGGATGGGGAGGCGGAAAGGCCCTGGGACACAGGCTCCTGCAGCTCCTCACCATCCTCTTCACTTCGCGGGCAGATGCGTGCCTGCAGCCTCAGCAGGGGCACTGCCTGGTCGGCGACGGAACGCCC